CCCCCCGCCCCACGAGCAGCCAGCCTGGCCGTCCCCAAAACTGCCTCTCCCAAGTGTAGGGAGGGGCTCCTCTGCTTCCAGAAGCTCCGCTGCCTTTGCAGAATAAATACACGGGGGTGACCAGACCCGGCAGCCACCAAACGCCACGCAAGGGGCGGCAAACGGGAGGAGGAAGGTGCCACCTCGAGGGTGCCCAGACCAAGCTACAAGAACCTGGGCAGGCTGGGGGGGATGCTCCTCACAAGGAGGGATCCTGGGCCAGCACCAGAGCAGCAGGCAGGAGCACCGGCAGCAGCCTGCCTAGGACACACGCTCCCAAGTGTCTCTGGCACCTCAAGGCTTCCCTGTGCCACCTGCAGTGACAAGCGAGCCCCAGAGAGCGATGGCAGAGCAGGGAGGAAGCCGGTACCTGGATGAGGTTGGGGTAGAGCCCAGCCATGAGGACGCCCTTGACCAGTTCCTCCTCTTCGCTGTACTGGTTACACACAGACGAGGGCATGGTACAGTCAGACGGGGACGACACCAGGAAGGCTTCGTAGAGGTTCTCAGAGAACTGCTTGACAAGGCCTGGAGGGAGGAGACAGCCCCAGGGGACACGATTCACTCTCTCCTTCACCCCACTGACTCCAATAACCTCAGCAGAGCAGCACCAGAGCTCTGAAGGCTCAGCCTCAGCGCTAGGACAGACCTGTCCTGCCCACAGCCTCCCTGGCACCCAGGGCTACGCCTGTGCCCACGAGTGCCAAAACCAGAACCTGCGCCCACTCCAGCTGTCACCCACCCAGGCTGCCCCATTTCTGCCCCGTGTTCTTCACCAGCGCTTCACCCTTTCAGGGTTCGGCGGGGAGAAGCAGCAGGCCCCTGGGACTCACCGTTGATGAAGCGAAGGCTGGGGCCGTACAGGTAGTAGTCCTGCAGGTAGTTATCCCTGGCACGGCTGTCTCTGCGTCTCAGCACCTCCTCCCAGCCTGCCACAGCTCTGACAAATGCCAGGTGATCGCTCCCGCTCTCCCGGCTCAGAACAGCCTTGGCCTAGGAGACAGACACGTGTTGGCCAAGTGGCAGCCCCTTCCTCACCCGCTTTCTGCCTCCCTTGAGGAGGGGCTGCTCACCTTGTCCACCTCCGCACGGTTTTGCAGGCTGCTGCTGAAGGGGTCTCGGGTGAGGCAGGAAACGATGACAAGCAGAGGGTGGAGGCAACGGTAGATGGACGCCAAGACAATGGCCTTGGCCAGCCGAGGATCCGTGGAGATCTGGGCAAGGCGTTTGCCCAAAGTGGTGAGAGCTTCTCGCTGGTCCAGCACTCCTGCAACACAGCCGCCCACGAGGGCATGTCCATCAACTCCCAGTGGGACCAAAGTGGTGGCCAGTGGCTTTGGGGAGCTGCCAGAACCCATCTACCAGGCTTGGAAAATCTGGTGTAACCTCCAGAAGAGGCACACGGCATGGTGCCTGCGATAAGCACCCAGAACCTCCCAGGTCTAACTGCCCTGAGGCCAGAGGAAAGGCTGTGACAGCCAGACAACAATCGACAAGACCCCTGCTATGAACTCCAGAGCACAACTTCCCTTCTTTCTCTGTCATCCCCATTTTTTAATTTTTTTTTTTTTAAACTCTAGGAAGTTCTCCCCACATTTTGAGCAAAGCAGTGTGGGAAATAAACCAGCACCACAGCGTGGGTGGTTTGGGAAGTGCCTATCAGCTGCCATCCCTATCTAGGGACAATCCTGTCCCGTCTGTCCCACGAGATCCATGTTTCCATCACACCCACACCAGGACACAGCACGAGCTCACCAATCTCCTGCAGCAAGATCACTGCTTCATCCACAGCTTTGATGTCCGGGCTGTCCAGAGCCTTGGAGAGAAATTCAACTGCCTGCAACACAGCAGGAGGGGAAAAAAAAAAAAAAAAAAAAAAAAAAAGGGCTTGTTTCCCATGCAGGAGTGTGGGAGAGCCCTTGGGAGCCCACTGCCCTGCCCCAGGGCCCCAGACTGTAACATGGTTCCGCCTCCCTTTGCCTACAGGGATATGAGCTCAGCCCTCTCTGCTCTTGCAGAGTCTTTTAGACATATACTCTGTAATCTATGTAATCTATACATTTCCTGGTCTTAACTTCCCTAGACAGCCCTGCACTTAGGAAAGCAAGAACTGAAGTCATCAGCATCTTGGGCTTTTCCTACTCATGTTTGCAGTCAAATCACATCTCCTGCAGTCTTGGACACATGCACTGTGCTTACCGTCTTCTCTGGCATGTGGATCTTGGCCTGAACCACCAGGTTCTCCAGTGGGGTGCGTAGGATCTCCGGAACCTGGTAAGTTGGCATCTTGTCGAGGCGGCTGCGAGGGAAGAGGTGATAGGCAAATCCCGACTGACAGCGGCCAGCCCGCCCTCGCCTCTGCACCACGTTGGACTTGGACACCCACACCGTCTCCAGGCAGGACACCTAGGAGAAGAAAGATTAGGCATGAATGCTCTCACAGCTCTCTGTCTTGTTCAAACGCTGCCTTCCATCCAGTCCGCCGCCCTCCAGGACTCCTCACGACAATCAACCATCCTTCTGAAGGGCAGGGGAAGCCTTTCCTGCTCTCCTGCACCTTGCAATGCTGGTCTCTAGCAGGCAGCAGCAGGAAGGCCTGAGCTGCTCGGTGCAGGGATGAGACCCTGATGCCATCTGCTGGACACCTGCCTTGGCTCCATGTCACAACACTATGTCAGGACATAGCATTCCCCAGAGGCTCATCATGCTGCCCTGCTGGGAGCTGCCAGCGGAGCGTGGTCCCTGCCTCCCCCATGCCAGTCCTGCTGTGTGCTAGCACAGGCGCTGCAGGGCCCGCATTGTGGGATAAACCAGGTTAAAACTGGGCAAGTATCAGAGGGTTGGTTTTAAACCAGAGCTGGTCCAAGGTGTGAATCGCCACCTGGCCCTGGGAGACGTTCTGGCACAGGGAGGGGGGAAGGGGCAGCAGCACAGAGACAGAATCTTTTCTTCCAAAGCAACAGGAGCACAGCTGCCTTCGTGTTGTTAGGAAAGTGTACGCACAAGAGCCTTTGTGGGGCCCAACACAACCAGCAACATGGCCCGAGAGCAGCGTAATCCACCTCCCTGAAAGCTGACCAACAAGCTAAGGCACTGGAGTCACGATAGCACCAAACAAACACCAGCAGTGCCTAGGTCAGAGCTGCCCTGCTTCGGCTAGACAGAAAGAGGTTTACGAGGAAATCACAAAAAAAGGCAGAAAGCAAATGGAAAAGGTAAAGATGGTGTAACAGAGAGTTGGGAAGGGATAGGATTTGCCTTAAATTTCTCTGAAGACACCAGACTTTTGCCTATTCAGC